ACTTTGTTTGGACAACTGCCTTCTATAGTTTTTATTGTACTAAATCGAAGCTGAGATGCATGTAATCTATAACGGCATTTGTGTTCGAATTCTAACTATGCGAGGAGCTTATATGTTGATGCGAGTTTTATGTACGCGCCTGTGTATGTGTACTCGACGGAAATATGCTAGTACCGGGCCTTTCACGTTGTCACACGAGTTCTAATTTACGCACAGAGTCACATAGTTGCTCGCGTGTTTACTGCTGGAAAACTGAAAGATCTGTTATTCTGTAGCAGTGCGGTCACATGTATGATCTTCCATTTGCCGTGCATTTGCGGAAGTAAATGCTCCGCATTCATTCGCCACTCGACACGCTTGTTGACATCATATCACGCACCACATGCGCATCTTGACGGTTTCTCCGCGTACAGGCATGTCTGGGTACTGCATTAAGCTACCAGCCCAGCAACGCACATCGTTTGTGGCCGTTGACACGTGTCAGCCTTACGGCCTCGACTTGCTGTCAGACTGGCCGAACCCATCCTGGGCTGCGTGTGTGGTATGTACTCGAGGTATTATTTAAGAAATATCTAGATGTGTGTATATGTCATTCGTTATACGGATATGTGAGTAGTCGATGCTAGTATGAAAGCGATGGACCGTTTCACATCTATTCAGATGTGTATACGTGTTGTACTCTTCTAGTTTCTGGCGTGAGAGTCTCACGCATCGGCTTGTGCGCAGTGAATGTGTAGAGTAACCTCCGTGCGTGACATGTGAGAGAATGGCATTGACTTTTGGTTTATAACCTTTCATCCTGTCTGAAAGTTATACGAATCATAGGCAATATTGAAGTCTCTGGGAGCAGACTAGTAGTCTGTCTTGCCCTGTAATTGCGCAGTATGTGTCTTTCGGAGTTGTTGAACTACTCATGTGTTTTTGTTCAGTACGGTTCCGTGCGAACATTTATTCAGGAATCGCGGTTGTGAGCGTAATAGTGTGTCTGTCTATCGCTACAGCTAGCGTGCTCTATGTATGTACGTGTCCATATGCTGTGCATAGCGTACGCTTTCTTGCACCTTCACTATATATCCTCGTTGCCATGACAATGCCCCTGTGTATTTTTTGCCACTTGCCCTAAAATCTCATTCGTGCTATTTATTTTGGTTTTCGCTTTTTGACGCGCAAAGCATATCGCCAAAACAAGCGGCTACTTCTAATTCCCACGGGTTGAACTGTGACTCTCATAAATCTAGATATGCATTCTTTAAACAAAACGAATCTACCCACAGATATTACCGGGAAACCTATTGCATTATTGATAGTCTTTTATTTGCCACAGATCCTCACGGGCGTTGGGGTGGTGTACTCTCTGGTGCCTGCAGTTGGGGGCATCATTAACCGATACATTATCCGAGCTCTCGACCCGTTTATTACCATCTGCTGTGCTTTCAATAGTACGTTCTCGTATACCCTAAAACATAAAACCCAGTGGCATACTTGTACGTTTTTTGAACAGTATACAGCTCAGTTCGCGCTTCTATGGCGTGTTTGCGTAATCGTAAATGCACTTTTTGCTACGTTTTCACACTAATTTTTTTTTCCTGCATGTTTTCTCCATTGGCTAGTACCATTTAACCCGGGTGTATACGCCCATAGCACTTGCTACATGCTCCTTGCTGCTCGATGCACTCCCATATTTCGGCCACTTGTGGCAATTTTGCAACTGACCCCAATGTGCATAGGTACAATAATGAACAACATGCTATTGACTTCATACGAGTCGTCTACTTCTCCAGCTCATACCAATGCACATATGTACTGCGCTCTAACGACAATGCACATTTCGTCTACTTCTCCAGTTCGCATCAGTGTACGTATGTGCTATACTGGATACCACCTTACCCAGCAATCCACATTTGGCCCACATTTGCAGCGTTTCTGTTCTTTCTGGTGTGCGTGATATTCCCCGCAGAACTGCACAATATGGTTGGGGTCCCGGCCATTGGCGAAGTCACAGCCTGTTGGGATGGTGGCTCGTACAGCCCGGGGAGTTACTGCTCGGTATGCATACATACGGATACATATAGAACTTGACAGACAGCTATGTGTGCTATACTCAATGTATATCTGTATATTTTCAACTATGTGAAGGGTATGCGACAACCAGGCATGCGGGTTTGTGGCAGATATAAGTTGTTATGTACGTCTATGTATGTGATTTATATATCTGTCCATATTCTACATATGCTCGCCACAAGATTTCTCTAGATTTTGGCGCGGCAAGGGCTATTGTACCACATGTGTCGACGGGGTTTCAGGGTACACTAAAGGTTGCTCAGGCTGGCTTTTGGAATTGGTTTATCAAAGTCAGGGCTGATCGCTACTGTGGGCGTCCCTTCTCACCACCGTCTAGCATAACACAGTTTTTGCCCATGGGTTTCTGGTCCATAGAGCATCGGCCGTCCGTGAATTTGCTTATGTAAGTTACTATATCCACAATGTTCAATTAAGTCTAAAATAGTATTGGTGCGGATATGTTGCTTTTTTCTTTGATAACTTCTCACACAAACCCATATTTGCAAACATGACCTATGGATAAATGTTGTATTTTATCCTTTATCGAGCAAATCATACACGTTGGTCGAGGATTAGAGTTTAAGAGCTATGAAATACCCAATCCGGTTTCTATACATTTCGGTCACTTAGTCTTTATGCACTTTCAAGTACAATTTGATGCAATGTGAGATTCATAGGCAACTCTGTATGAACACTGGATAGAAGCTTAGTGCAGTGGATACAATACAACCCCGGATTGTAAATACATAGAATCAGATATCGCGTCCGAGACAACCTGTCCCAATGCAACTCTCGGTATTCTGCTGTTGTCATATAATTCATTTATACGTTCGTGTCTGGTGTACTGTTTGCTAATTCAACAGGTGCCTTTGTTCTGTAGTTCGATTGTGTCAAGAGATTGTTTAATATTGCAGGCTTGTGTAATTTCGAGTTGGTGTGTCAGGTATATCAAAAGTATCTTTCTCGATTGGTGATCTATGATGGCTCGTCTGGTCAAAATGTGGCATCAACACTCTGCTTGAATAAGCCACCATCGCTGTACTTCTTTCAATTGCGTAATAACATCATCTCGTCCTATACATTACACTTCTAGTTTGTGCTCACGCAACGAAACATATCCAAACCAGACTAAGCTATTTTTTGCTTTCGTACAGTATGCCTCGGGCTATGGAGCGATGTGGGGGTGTTTTATAATTTCTCTCGCAACCACCGGATGCTTCGGTTACTCAGCATACTTCGTGAGTGGTTCCGGCGCTTTCGCGTGAAATAGTAAACCCGAACGCCAACGTAGGTCGTCGTAGGATCATAAGAAAATATAGAAGAATCGAAATAGGCAATCAAGTTAAATAGTTAATAAATAGAAATTCACCCTAAACAACTGAGATGGTATTTTTTTTCTTCGTATTGTTGGATTGTATTTTAAAATATATAAATATACGTGTGTAGGAGTTGTAGAGTTGAAGACACGTATTTATGTATATAGTATGTCAGGGAAACTTGATATAAATATATAAAACCTGTTTTCGTACGACCCTCTGAGCCCTGTGGGGACTGGAAATTTGGAAAGTCTGTCCCTCGTAATCTGAAGCACAGCCCTGGCCCCTGAGGCCTGAGCCCTGTCTTGAAATCTTCTCTCCCCCTTCTTGTCTCTTGTTGTGTGTGTGGGAAGTCGAAGTCGTGCTGCGCGCGATAATCTGGATGCGTGTATTGCAACAGTCTAGCGGGCCAATGAGTGTAGAGCATGGTGCATACTGGGCTCTGGGGGCTGGGGCGTATGTATCCCAAATATCACCCAATTATAACTTTTATATTGAAATCAGCCATACTTAAATAAATTTTGATGTTCTTCGAATGACCGTCGCGCGTGGGACGTGATTCACGTGACTCCATGATGCGTCAACCAATAGCGGCATAGCCCGCACTCCCGGCATCATACATAATTAGACAGTATTTACAGCCTTTACACTTTACAGTTTACAGTTTACACTCACTTTACAGTTTACAGCCTCAGCCCTCAGGGCTCAGGCCCGCGCCCTCAAGGACAAGGGCCAAGGCTCAAGGCCAGCCTTCACACAACAAGGGTCAACCCGTAACCGACAACCGGTTAAGTCTCAAAACAAGTCTGAAGTCTCAACACTCTTGAAAAATGCCCCCAGTGCCCACGCCCCACGGGCCACTCGGCCACCGTTCTCAACTTTTCAACTCTCTCGCCCTTTCCGAAGTATTTTTATAACAAAAAAACAATTTCGCTTTTATTTAGAAAAACATAACAAAAAAAAGTAAATATAAGACAAATACACATATTTCGTCACAGCCTTCTAAATTAATGTACAAAATACATACATACTTACTATTTTTTGTTATAAAAAACAACGCGATAAAATAACACATATTTAGATTTTATTGTAGAGTCATCACTCATCAGTCATGACCCCCTACTATCATATTTAGTGGCCCACCCAGCAGTGAGCAGAGACTATGTAGAGAGAGAACGAACTATTATATAAATTTATTTTAATTTAAATGTCTTCTTCTGAAGTCTGAAATCTGGGATCAGACAGTCTAAACTTTTTTTTTAAAACAGTCTGAACTCTGACAGACTGACAGTGTGATGACTGATGAGTTATGGAGTGAACAGTGAACAGTGAACAGTGAACAGTGAACAGTGAACAGTGAACAGTGAACAGTGAACAGTGAACAGTGAACAGTGAACAGTGAACAGTGAACAGTGAACAGTGAACAGTGAACAGTGAACAGTGAACAGTGAACAGTGAACAGTGAACACCGAACAGTGAACAGTGAACACCGAACACTTGAACAGGCAACAGGCCAACAGCTGATCAATTCTACAATATTTATATATAAAAATACATACTAGATAAAAAAAGTACTCTATATCTACGGTCTTTTACTCGGCTTCAATTTTATTTTTAAAAAAGGGTTTTGGCCTTTATAGTTCATGGGCACCAAATTTTATAGTTTCAGTAAAATGCCCCGAATTGAAGGGCTGAGAGTCTGAGACATCTGAGAGCAAGAAGTGCATGATCTATGCGTTTTTCCTGTGTGAGTCCCCTTCTGCTCTTCGAAGTCCCTTTTTTAAAATAAATGCATTAGACACAGTATATTACTATTGGACAAACGCCTAAAAATTGATAAACAACAGTTGTGAAATATAGTATTTATGTATTACATTTACATACACTTTTGTTGTTTTTTATATTGGTATGTTTTTTTAAAATAAAAAACAAAACATGTTTCGGTTTTGTTGGACTGTGTTAAAAAAGCAACACCAACAAAAAATAAGGCCGAGTGTGCCCTCGAACTCGAAGTTTCTAAAATTCTAACCGCCTCATCGAGTTGTCACTTGTTGTGACTACAAGTACTTCTTATGTGTGAGTTGTGACACACAAGCTCTAGAGAGCTGACGCTTGTTTTCTCCCCTCCAGGACCTATGGACCTATGTATCTGTGGTCTGACGTCCCTTTCGTTTCACTCTTTCCCGCGCGAGTTTTGAAAGTGAATCAGGATGAGTGAGAGTCCATGAATATATGCCCACAAGGCTACAGGACTACTAGTATTGACAATTTGACACTGGGTGACTGGGTGCAGCACTGCAGCAGTGCAGCGTGCAGGTCCAGGACTTAAAGGACTCAAAGACTACAGGCATTGCAATGAACGTCCCTACTCTCTCTGTCTAGTACTAGTAGGTAGCTATCCTCAGACAGCACTCTATTTCTCTCGCGTCCACTGGCTGGCCACATCATCAGTAGTTCATCACACATTGTTTATTACAAATACATGAAACACGAACCTAAAACATGCTACCCTTTCTTTATTTATGTTTCAGGTGTTTGCTTCACTGTACATATTTGATACTGCTGGGGCCCTGTGTACTGTGAGTGTGCACTGTGTACTGTAGGGCGTGTAGGCGGATATTTACACTCATCCTTTATAGCTGATATGCATGTATGTACTGTACTGTATTGTATTTTATTTTTATTCACTCTACTCTCTACTACTCTAGAGAGTAGAGAGAGAGAGAGAGAGGGTTAACCGTCTACGGTCAAACCGTCAAAAATGAAAACAGAAACTATAAGGAGGGTTCCAAGGAAATTGTCACATTGTAATTGTTTTTTAAAAAGGCGTTTAAAAAAATGATCTGTGATGCAGTGATGAGTTAAATACTGAATGTAAATGAGTGATGAAGCATGTTCTGGTTCTGAGGCCAGCCAGCAGTGGACACTCGACTCTGTGGAGTGTGGACAGCCCTAAATATATATTTATAGTATTACTTAATTTTTTTAAGTACATACAGTATATATAGTTTTTCATAGCCTTCTAATAAATTGTACCTTTTTTCTATAAATATTTATACAAACAACAAATATTTATATTCGTTTATTGTGGTGTTAAAAAATGATATCTAGAAACTCGCCTACGCCGAACGGCGTACAGTATGTAGTATGTAGTGAGACTCGTACATACATATTTGTCTAAACTCGGTGAAGTCTGATATGAAGATCTGAACTTCTGAAGGAAGTATAAATACATACTGAAACCGGACAGACGCTGACGGCTGACCGCCTTGACGTTTTAAGTTACTCACTCACAGTCACTCGTCATGAGTCTTGTGAGTGACTCTTGACTGCTGCAGCTGAATGCTGATTGCTGATGACTGATGAGTGATGATTGCTGTATTTTTATTACTTTTTGACATTTCCCTGTTGAATTTTGACTTTTGAGTGCCGGAGGAGGACAGGGGGAGGATTGTTTTTTTTTAAACAAATCCATCTTGAAATACACCCCACTGCTGGCCGCGGGGCCGCTCGCTCTCTCTCTGAGTCTGGGGTATAAAAAAATAGAAAGTGCATTCAATCCAAAATCAAGCTCTGGAGACATCTGGCCCTGGGCTTCAAACCCTACTACAGAGTATGTAGTACATAGTAGATAACTCCAGTGAGTCCAGTACTTCTGGAGTTTTACCGAGTAGAGCAGACTCAACAGTCAACAGAGGCCCAGAGGCCCAAGGACCAAGGCCCGAGGGCCTAGCCGCCGAGGGTCCAAATTGCTTTTTTAAAAATAATAAATAATATGTATAGTTAAATAATGGTTGTTTTCTTTTTTAAATCAAAAGAACATATTTATCAGTAGGCTTTCAAAGCTTGACAGCCTGAACAGGGAACACTACAGTCTACAGAGTACAGACTGAACTCGACAGTGACACCTATATTATTTATGATTAGCCTTTTTTTTTATTAAACGCGACACGTTAAAAAATTCCGAGTGTTTGAACTTTGACATCTTGATACGATTCTTGTGAATCTCGACTGATTACAAATATATTTTTTAAACCCAGATTTCAAACCAGGGTCCAAATCACGCATGTACCAAATACTACTATTTAGTGACTCCTTTGTCATTCTATTGGAAGTAAATATCTCATGCTGCATACATACGGATAATTGAGCGCCTCTTGTTCTGAATGGCAGTTGGCACCCGTCTCACTGAGTGTCGCAAGTCTCAAGAAGGTTGAATTTAACTTTTTACATATATTTAAATCAACAAGAGCTGCATTTTCTCATATATATATAAGCAGACATTCTTCTTCAACGACATAGATTTTAGTGCGAGTTGGCAATAGTCACGAACCATGGCGGTCGAACTTCGGGTTGACTCGACTCAGTATGGAGCCTCACAATTAGATCAAAGTAAACGAATTGGGCATAAGCAATCCTGGTCTTCTTTATCGGGGGGAAATTATTTCCCGGATAGGTCTGGTAGGAGAACTAGTCTACTACCTCTAGACTGCAGTATAGAAGAAAATGAAGAAGTGTTAATATCATCCCGTGAATATGGGGAACCAACACGTAAACTAGAGTCAAGTAGGAGAGGCAGTATGAGCAGCATATTCACCAGAAAGACCAGCACGTTGGCGTCACCTCGAGCCCAAACCCTCAAAAATACTGATTCTGATTTTGGCATTATGAAGATCCAGCAGCTAATGGATTGTATAGCTCATATCGATTCTCCAGGGTCAGAAGGGCCACCTCCTCGACCCCCTAAAGGACAAAAGTATACCGGGTGTAAACCAATAGCATCGAAATTTAGATCCGAAAATAAGTTTACGAATTCACATCACACTAGCGGTATTTCTTCTGGGGCAAGTGCATCGGCTATGTTACGAAAGTCGAGGACCTCCACAGATCTTCATGTTGCCTCCAAACAGAAGGGAAGCGCTAGTATTACTTCCTTTACGAATATTCGGGATCATCTTCGAAAATATTCAGAGTCTGAGATGAAGCGGGGTGGTTCACACACCAATCTGAACCATTCGAGTAGCCGCACAAGTTCGTCGTCATTCATTCCTAGCACATCTTCACCGGAGTCTGGAGATTGTACCTCCTTGAAAACTATGGAACTTTACACCAAATTACAGCGAGTAACTAGAATGCCCCGAAAGAAAGTGAAGCCCCAGCAGCTAAAGAGAGAGTCAAAATCAAGCAATCTACTTGATGTGTACAAGCACGTCACACACAAAAGCCGCTCTTATCCAGCTTCACCACAAACGCCCCGCAAAACGAGTGAATTTCATGCTACTCCCAGACCTCCAGGGTCGCAAAGGCGTCCGTCCTTGTCAATGGAGAATCTACTCTCCAGTACCAGAAGTAACTCCAGGTCATCGAGTGAGAGACCGCAGGCGGTCACTTCCTCGTCTCATAGGGATTCGGAATCCGAAACTGCCGTATTCGACGGCGAGGTTCATTACCTCGAAGACCTGAATATCTCAGCATTGCTCCGTGCGCACACCGACGTATTCTCCGGAATAGACTGGGGAGAAAGTTTAGGAAATAATGGAGAACTCCACGTTGCTATATTAGGCGCTAGAGGCACAGGGAAAACTGCACTGTCTAATCGACTGTGTAAAGGAATGTTTGATGCATCTTACGAACCCACTATCGCCGAAACACATAGCCACACCGTTTTTGTAGGAGGCCACAAGTGCAGCATCCGCATCTTGGACAGTTCTATGGACGAGTGGACGTGTGAGAAGATTATATTCAGGGCAAATGCAACTTCTCCAGGAATGTACAGAGCGTCGAATAGGTCCAGCTCCACACTCCTAACTCTGGGTACCAAGAGTTCTAGCTTGAAAAATCTGAGTACTGTCACCAATAGAAAGTCCAACAGTGTACCCTCGAGCATAGATCCCCTATGGTGGGCCCATGGATACATACTCACGTTCTCCGCTGACGACAGAAGAAGTTTCGAACACGTTGTGTCCCTCAAAGAGGAATTAATGGACAGACGACGTCGATTCCCAGCCCTAATGGCAGCGCAGTTCCCTATCATAGTAGTAGGCACCAAGGCAGACGTTTACGGCAAGGATGGAAAAGGAAAAGGAGTGGCAGATAACCTTCCTGCATGGTTAACTGATATTGAAACACTTGTTACAATGAAATGGGGGTTTCAGTTCAAGTTGGTAACCTGTACGGGACATCATTCGAACAAAGTTTTCCACGACTTAGCTGAAACAATGCGAGACTATTACATCCAGCTGCTGCTACGTGAGGGTTTTTCATATTCGCCTAATTATGCATTGAAGGAGGGAAAGGAGCAGAGTGTATCGAGCGCGCCAGGTCGCATGGTGACATCATGATGACTGTTGTATCATATTAAAATTGAGTTAAAAACTTCTTATTTCACCAGTTTAGTATGGATACTGGAAATTCAAATCTCTGTCTTATTGCAACTTCCTGAATAGTCGTGATCTAGTACTCAATAGATCGGGTCTCTTATGTACACTGCAGTGGCTGCGATTTTATACGAGTGATATTTTCTGGATAGACTATCAAGCTAACACAAGGTGCGACGATCGAGCTACGTGTGTATAACGGAGAAACGTCATGAAGTAACAATAAAAGTCAGCTAATGCAAATGCTGCGTAAGCATCGTCGAGATATACCAACGTCGCATCAATCCGATTTTTCTTCCCCTTTAACGTTAGCTTGGATTTTTATCATTACAACTTCTCAACGAATTCAAAAAAGCTGTCAGTAAATCGCTAACAAGTACTTAGTTTTTTGTCTTATGATATGCAACTATAGCTATAAAAATATCATGTTAACTAGTTAAAGATTATATGATTGTCCAACAGACCTAAAAATGGGGGAAGGTCTTTACTTATCCAGAGACGCGCGGTCTACCTGACGTAACGGATGAATGATGCGATGGTTTCTATATAATGATTTGCGGGAAGGTGTAGAGTGTAAGCAATAGTAAAACACGACATACAGTAATACATATTTATATATATATATATTTTATAAAGAGCACAGTAGGCTGTATGTAAGCCTGTTGGCTGTAGCCGAGAGAGAGGCTGCCTATATGTAGTCTATTCTTTTTTATTACCTTCTGAATAGTTATTTGAAATATTTCCATACACACATACATTATTTATAAATATATTGTGGTGTTACCATGATGATAAAAGTTTATAACATATGTATGACGTAAATTTTATATTTATTAATGTAAATATCGAGTAAGATATTTACGTATAACGGTTTCATGGGTCAGACCGGGCGTCAGAAATGGCGCGTGATTCTTCTAGATAATTGTCTACTATCATAGATGTGTCCAAGTGTGATGTTACAATTTTGGATCTTCCCCTAATCCCCTTAGTACGAGAGAGTACTTATAGTGTCACAAAATGCGACCGGCCTAAAAATCGGAGAGATTTTTGTTTAGAAGACGACGAAACACAGAAATCAAGATTCGTAAGGATAATCGCTACATGCTATTAGGTCTTCTGGTTACAGCGATCTTAATGTATGCGCGAGATACAAACTATCCTGTGCTAGTGTAAGCTTAACGATATATATATATATATATATATATATATATATATATATATATATAGTTTAATACACACAACACACACTATATATATATATATATATATATATATATATATATGTATAGTTAGAATAGCTGACAATCTGTATATAATGATGTACACAAAAAAGCATATACATCTAATATATATATATATATATATATACATATTGTATGTACGTACGGTGACTGCGTGTACGCTTATCGGCATATATATATATATACATACACTCACATATATACACACACACACATATATATATATATATATATATGTATGTATATACATATAAATCGCTATATTTATATGTATATATACATATATATTTATATATATATATTCTATTACATATGTATTTATTTCTATATATATATATATATATATAAATGTGGAACGTGTTTAAACACACACATACACACAGATGTATATATATATATATATATAAATATATATGTATATATATAGATATATATTCATTCATGTTTTGTATGTCATGTATTTATATATATATACGTAAAAAATACATATATACAAGTATATAAACATACACACACACGCACACACACACATGAATATATATATATATATATATGTGTGTGTGTGTGTATGTATATATTTTTGTATATACGGACATCTATGTATTTTTTATGCATATATATATATATGTATTTCGTACATCTATTTGTGCATTTGAGTGTTTCCGTTCATGTATTGTTTGTATATTTATATGTAGAAGTATATATACATATGTAAGTATCTATATACACCCACATATATATATATATATTTATATGTACATGTATATATATATATGTATATGTATATATATATATATGTATATCTATATATATATATATATGTGTGAGTGTATATAGATACATGCATATGTATATATACTTCTACTGAATACACACGTATAAGCATATTTATGTCGACTTTTTCAATGTATTTATCGATATTTTGACAATCTATCATTTATATATATATATATTTATGTATGTGTATTTATGTATGATTTAGAGATATATACTACAAATATGTATATATATATATATTTTATTGATTTATTGATTTAGGGATATATATATATATATATATTTATATACTTATATTATATATATGTGTGTATATATGTATATAAGTATATTTATATTTATATATATGATTTAGGGAAATATGATACAATTGTGATTATATATATATATTTATACATACACATATGTATGTATATATATATATGAGAACATATATCTATATATCTCTATATACATATATATCTATGTATATATATATATATGTAAATGCAAATGTAAATGTATGTGTACATATGTGACACGTGCGTGTTTAAGAATGGTGTATTTATGAATTGTTTTATTCAATTACTTTGATAAATACGTACACATGTATTTTTAATTTTTTGTTCGTTAGACCATATGCTGTCTCATTGTAGGTATACATTTACTGTCTTATTATATGTATATACATTCTATTCTATTTTAATATATATATGTATATTTACATATTTGTTTGTGTTTATGTGTATATATTGATATATTTATATTAATCTGTATCGATATCTATCGATCAATTCCTTAGTTTACATATATACATATATATTCATATATGTATATATATATATCATATATATCATATATACATATATATATATCTGTTTTCATCTATATTTATATATATATATGTGTGTGTCCGTGTGTATTATATACATATATATATATATGTGTGTATATGAATATATATGGATATGTATATATATGGATATATTTATATCATATGTATCTATAATGATCCATTAATTCTTCAATTTATATATTTATATATATATATATACTATATTATATTATATAAATATATATATATATATATGGACACGTATAGAACATGTATGGATATATTCACTTAGGTATATATGGACATATATATATATAGTATATATATATCTATATATATATGCATGCATTTATATATACATTATATATATGCATACGTATATTGTTATATATATTTATATTCTGTCTTCATTTAATTTTTATGGATATATTTTTCGATAAATGTATATATGGATATATTTTTCAATATTCATATATATTGTAGTATTAAATACACATATTTATATATATATGTATTCATAATATATATATATATATATTTGTATAATATTTATATTTATATATATGTATAATATATATATATATATCGATATATATGCGTGTATATGTTCATATTTATAATTTTATTTATGAATGTATGTATTTTTTTATTTCATTTCATCTATACATGTACATATACATTTAGTTGTATATAAATATATATATATATATTTGTGTGTGTGTGTTTCTATATATATATATAGATGCGTGCGTGCGTGTTTGTTTCCCGTAATATACTACCCCTATACATATATATGTATATGTATACATTTATATATATATATGTACATATATATATACCTATATACATACATTTTTTTTAAATATATTTATTATATATGTGTGTGTGTGTATTTTGTTTTTCTCGCCCCATGTATTGTCGCTTTTGACATATGGATCTGTGATTTCATTGTAATACATAGATAATGCCATTCTTCGTATTGCACCGACGTCTATGATCTTATGTTGTTATGTGCACAATTCTACTTTGGGCGAACTGATATTTTTTCCCCACCGATAGACTGTTTTCTGAATAACAATTACGCTGTATCTGCTCTGTACTCAATTTTTGTCGGGCGCCTATCGTGAGCGCTTGCTTAATGCTTTATCCTTCATCTTGCACAGGACGAGAGATAGTAAATGATCAGGAAGTGGCCATCAAATTGGAAGCCTTAAAGAGCCGACATCCCCAGTTGTACTACGAGTCTAAATTGTATAAAATCTTCCAAGGAGGAGGTGCGTATCTGTGTGTGTGTTTATTTTCACACGGCGTTGTTTTATCGTCTTGGGGCAGGTGACTAGCACCGGCATGGTTCCATGGAGTGATGTGTGTATGCAGCACGCTTGTTTAGATCCGGAGTATCGGTGTGTGTTCAATCACTCTATAATGCACGATGCAAGCACAGGTCTCACATGATTATGGTCTCTATCCTCCTGGTGTTGACTTTCCTACCGCCTTAGTGTAGTATTCGGACCTTGTTATATGACTTACCCACTCGTATGTATCATAGCTCTGCACATTTCACTCAGGCACAAGTATCTACCATTCACACCAGCATTGGATCACGATTCTCAGTGAAAGAGTTACATGCCTCTTGCGACGTCATCTCAGCATGCCTTCCTTAGACTGCGTAGTTGCGTTTACATTCTAACATTTGTACACATATCCTTCCACCAGTGGTATGTATTGGGCTCTCCGTGTCATACTACCCGCACTCAGCCAAACCCCGGAGTGCACCCGAAGACAAATGGTGGTCTGGTCGACTTCCTATACACGTATCGGCTTCACTATCACGCCCCTTTCTCTTAAACCTGCTACTCCTTCTACCTCACTCACTAGCCACTCACTCTGTCGCTTTGTCTGACACTCCACCCTACCCCCTCCCATCTCGGCTTGCCTGGTCGTCACTGCGTGCAGAGGGGGTGCCTAAGCTGTACTGGTACGGACAGGATGGCGAGTACAATGTGATGGTTATAGAGCTGCTAGGGCCGAGTTTGGAGGATTTGTTCCAGTTTTCAGATCGCCAGTTCTCGCTCAAAACCGTGCTGATGCTAGCGGACCAAATGGTATGTCATCTGATCCAAGTTGTAGGCTGGTACTATGAGGAATGACTAGAGCCTGTGCGAGTATTCGTGTGTGTATAGAACTACCGTATGCCTTTCTGCTGCCAGTTGCTGTGTAGTAGTCTGGGCTATAAGAAATGACATGTGCCTATGCGAGTGTTCGTGTGTGTATAGAACTACCGTATGCCTTTCTGCTGCCAGTTGCTGTGTAGTAGTCTGGGCTATAAGGAATGTCATGTGCCGATGCGAGTGTTCGTGTGTGTATAGAACTACCGTCTGCTTTTCTGCTGCCAGGTGCTGTGTAGTAGTCTGGGCTATAAGGAATGTCATGTGCCTGTGCGAGTGTTCGTGTGTGTATAGAACCACCGTATGCCTTTCTGCTGCCAGTTGCTGTGTAGTAGTCTCGGCATGTGACCCAACTTACAACTGTTTGTGGAGTGGACTATCCTTTCCACGGGGTAGGTGCAACGGACTGTTCATCTCCTTATGCTGCACCTTTAGACTGCTGGCGCTCTGGGTAGCTCATAGGCCCTGCATCTGTACACACACAAGATGTGGTCATCTGTATACACACAAGACGTGGTCATCTGTATACACACAAGACGTGGTCATCTGTATACACACAAGACGTGGTCATCTGTTTACGCACAAGACGTGGTGGCCCAGAATAGTCATAGCTTCAGTGAGCTTATTGGCGGAAATAATCGGCACAGTCATAGACCACAGTAGTGGGGTAGTGATATCGCGCGTTGTGGTTCCGAAGTGAACTCTTGTGTCTATGTGTATTAGGAAACGATATGCCCATCTGTAGCTCATACTTACAACACACCCTTGCACTTTTCCGGGATGCGACCGTATCGAGTTCTATAGATAGCTTTGCTCGTACCCATACTTACCTACCTTTGGGCGGCACAACCCCCTCCGTAGATCTCAAGGATAGAGTTTGTGCACTCGCGGAATTTCCTGCACCGCGATATAAAACCCGACAACTTCCTCATGGGCATGGGGCGTCGGGGGCATGTGGTATATGTGATTGATTTTGGGCTGGGCAAACGGTACCGCGACGCGCACAAGCAACACATGCCGTACAGGGAGAACAAGAGCTTAACGGGCACCGCACGCTACGCCAGTATCAACACACACGCCGGCAAGGGTATGCGGATGGCTCTGGATTGGGCTGGGGGTTCTGTATGGGTGTTGTGGGTGTAGGTGGAGGTGTAGGGGTCTGACCTGTGATGATACATTTGTTGTAGTGTCGTAGAAGTGCTTCAGACTAGAGTATGTGTACATGTTTGAGTGGATTAGGTGTTGGCGTCCAAGCATGTATAGCGTTCATTTTTCAGTGGTAGCACGTGCACATAGTTAGATATAGCAAGGGTACGTAACATAACCGAGTATAGTGGATGCATAAATTGGTGTGCATGCTTCTCCCGAGGGTCTGGCTGGCTTGAATTTTAGTGGGTGTCACCTTAGAGCTCAGTTTATGTCTGAATTGCTGTGGATAGTGCCTGAGGTCTGATTTGTTAGGTGTTTTTGTGGATCTTGATTTTTTTTGTAGTATATGATAAGTTTTGTTTTTCTTCAGTTGTTCGTTGTCGTTTGTGTTGTAGTATGGCTCTCGGCGCAATATACATATATATATATTGCCATTGTACTGACCCGTCCTTGTTTGAGATGGGTTTGTATCGGATATCTGTAGTCATTCACACGGCGACGTCTATTTGGTTACCACAGAACAAAGCAGACGAGATGACTTAGAATCGCTGGGCTATGTGTTGATGTATTTTCTGAGGGGCAGTTTACCGTGGCAGGGTCTGAAAGCCAACACGCGCAAACAAAAGTACGAGAGAATATCCGAGGTCAAGATGAGTACCTCGGTCGCAACGCTCTGCAATGGGTTCCCAGGTATGACTATATGTGTTCGTATGGTGGGTTCATCTGTGTGCAATGGGCAGAGAGATGCACACATGCACATATGTTTTTCAGTAGATGTAACTATATGGATATATATATGTGTGTGTGTGTATGTATATGTATATGCATGCAATGTCGATTTTATGGATTTCTAGCCTATCCCATGGCGGTGGATGTTTGCCACGTAAAACCATTTAGAACCCAAGTGATGTCTTGGTTCTGCACACGTACCTAGTTTTACTTCAACTCCTTTTTGTTTCACATAAGAGTATCAACAACTAGCCCATTCATACTCACCTATATGGTTATAGCATCCTGATTGAATTGTATGCCTGGGTTACGCTTGTGCTACGTACGATTCTTATCTCATGAAACTGGAACTGGATTAGTGGGCGCATACCAACCTGTACTTTTATTCAGCGTCATGATGCACTCCTATCTTTTTACATGGGAATTCGTTACGGGTGCACGAGTAAGTTACTGCAAGTTAGTATCTACTTAAATCTATATATACCGACGCAGCTTCAAATATGAAATATTTACACCCTGTGTACTTTGTATCTATGTTAATGATATGAACTAGTCAAGAATTATTTACACGTATATAATTATATTTCTTCACACCATGTGTACCTTGTATATATGGTATTGATATGAACTAGTTAAGAAATATATACATGTGTATATTTATATTTCAATTATATATCGTAGATGGCCTGGTAAGTTATTGTGTATATATACCTCGTACTTTAGCACTCAAATAGTCGCCTATCGGTCCAGTATATCAAAACAGATGTCACATATACACAAACGTTGTTGCTAGTACAAAAAGCAGTGTGTATGTGATACTCAAACATTCACACCGCACACACATGCACAATCAGTATTCGCATCGGTATCCGTCCGTCATAGAACATGTTCATGTACGCGTATATGTACCACCTACCTTCACCTGTCACCCGTCTCACATATACTCTAATGCACGCCTCTCCCCCTGCCCTCTCTCACACACAGCGGAGTTTGAGGAGTACTTCTTATACGTCCGAGGCCTGCAGTTCATGGGCGACCCAGACTACCTGTTCTGTCGCAACATATTCCGAAAGCTGTTTGCGCGAAAGAACTTTGTGTATGACTACATGTTTGACTGGAACTTGACGGTGCAGCGGAAAGATGTGGCCAACGGAGCACCGCCCCAGGCGAGTGGTGGGGGGGTGTCGATTGCGGAGCAGAACGCGAACGCTAATCTGAACAAGTCACACCAGCAGCAGCAGTACCAGACCCAGCCACACACACACCAACAACAAGCACCGCAACAACAACAGCAGCAGCACCATCAACAGCATCAGATGCAACTACAGGCACAGCAACAACCACCGCAACAGCAGATACCACCACAGCAGCAGCAACAGCAACAGCAGCCGTTGCAGCAGCCGTTGCAGCCCAAGATGAGTGGCACAGGCACCAGGCAAATGCAGGGAGGGGGTGGCAGACAACAGCAACAGCCCATACCGGGCGAGGTGCAGGGCCAGGTGCAGGGCCAGGGCCAGGTGTCCCAAAATCAGGGGCAGGTGCAGCCCCGAGGGCCGCATCTGACCCGTTCCCAGTATAATTTAAGGCAGGCGCAGCTTATGAACGAGTCACAACCACAACAACAGCAGATGAGTGCGGCCCAGGCACACAGCATGCAGCATTCTCAGCTGGCACAGCAGCAGCAGCAGCAGATGCTGCTCAACAAGGAACGCCAGGCCCAGAACCCGCAGATGCAGGTATGCCGTAGGCGTGAACGTGTATGGAAGGGGTGTGCTTGTATGTATATCTATATATATGTGTGTGTGTTTGTGTGTAGAGGTTTGCAGAGATGGGTAGTCGGATCTATGTCGTGCTTATGCATTTGTGCGGGATGTATGATGGTTTGTATGCGCGTGTTATGTTGACATGTATGTGCTTAAACATGGCTAGTTATTATGCCCTGTTTAATTCGGAAGTCAACGCTCGTTTATGGCGTGTCGAATGTGTTGGTCAAAAGTTAGTGGCAGATGAATCTCATACTTATGGCAAGGGCTGTTTGGTTTGGTTTGGTGTTTTTGTTTGTTTTATGTTTCGTATTTGGTTTGGTTTGCTCTTGGGGGGGGGGGGGGGTTCATGGCGTTTATCGAAGTGTACAATGCTTTTAACATTACAGAACTGATATATGCATGTTATACGCCTTATGCGTAGCCTACACATGGGCCACCGTTCATCCATGTATGGTATGTCATGTATTGAGACTCCAGACGTGAACATAGGTGTATGCTACCAATGAATCACTGTGTGCACGCCAATGGGCATGTATAGATACCACACAGCACAGATATCAAATGTTCAATAGAGGATGTTGGCCTGTGGAATGAACCTGTGAGTCTACACAGCCCAACTGCACGAATCCACTGTATCGTAGAAGACTCGCTAACGTCTTCTTGGGAATTTTCCTGTCCCTCTCCTCCGCGTCCGCGCATCTACAGCAACAAGACTACTCGTACCGACGAGACTAGGATAAACCAAAGTTGACACCACGGATAAATCAAAGTTGAAAACCCCGATTACCCCTGTTGGAACCACCTACCGCCGCACGCCGCAAGCCGCACGCAACATACCACCCACAACTTAGTCAAGTGAATAACTGCAGTGGTACACACCGTCCGTCGCTGTGTGTCTAACTACCGTTTCCCGCGACACTCGAGCTTATTTAAGTGTACGCGAACACTTAAGAAAATTGTAAGTCCGATTTTCACAAGTACATATAAAACGCATCAAATATTGGGCCCGAACCAAGAACCATTTTTTTTTATTTCAAGTCCCAAAAGAAGCAATGTTCGAAAGTGTTAACGAGTATGTATCTATGATGTGCTGTGTGATGATCTTAGTTAGAGATGAATATAGATGTGTACATCGGATGCACAGACTCAAATCGGATTGGGCTGTGTTTTTTTTTTGTAACGTTATAGTCATTCGATTGAATTGTCCGTTGTTGACTGTGGACATGTTTTCTGTTTGTCTGGATCTTCGCTGGTACTTTTGCATATAGGCATATGTCTGCATATTACGACGTACATCTGTAAGTCCGTATGCAGAACTTCGGAAAGGGATTTCAACGATACTGTAAAAAATAAACGTATATCTGCCGAGTGATACAAAAAAAACAATGTATATTGCTGCTATGTGTTCTGTAGAGTGCACATTCCACCCACAACTCTCATCACAGCCAATAAAGTTCCGAAATTGTCCGTGCGGCGCAAAAAAAAAGGGGGGGGGGGACCGGCAGACCATACAACTAGGAAAAGGGACTCGTAACAGGCGCAATTGAATACTGAAGTGACCAAGATGATATCACGGCCTTTTAAAAGCAACAAGAGGGGGATTGCGTGCGGCGGGGTCGAGACCGGTCCCGTTTAAGTGACTTAGGACAAGGACATGGGCAGGTGCAGGGTAGTCGGACAAACTTCAACCAAGAAGCACAGAATAGTCTTGTACAGGCTGAGATAGGGTGTATGTGGACTATTGCTATGCATTGGTCAGTTGGTATCCGGCCGATAAATAGTACCACGAAGAGTAGTTAGGCCCTTCCTTAGTAATGTTATATATAGTCAGAGGCTTCGTTAAAGAGTGGGGGGACATCCCACCAGAACGAAGCTCGTCATATCTGTGCAACAGCAGATATGTCATTCATAACAACTCTGAAAACAAACATATACGTGTTTATACATCTACGTGTTTGCATCCACACAATGCCTATTAGATAGTAGTCTCATTCTCTGGCGTCACATAACCAGACTACAGAATCCTTACAATAAATATGAGCTCCACATGTTCTTCGAATTAGCTGTATAGTATGCGTCATACCGCGTAAAGTCAACTCCATTCGGACTTGTTCAGACATCCTTACCACCAATAGATGCACGGCCTGCTTTATAATTTCTGTGCAATACTAATACATACCCACACGAAAGGAGTTATGTGCGCCTGTGCTCCTCAGATAGCCCCGTCAAGTGCCTAGTTCATCTACTAGGCTTCGTGTGGTATGCATTCTAGAAGCAAGTGTATCAGGAAAACCAACACAAGTGTTTAATTTACTGTCTTCTATGTATCGTACTATCTTCAGCTCGCCAAACAACTTGTTGCGTTCACGCACATAGAAAATATTGGCCAGTATTGAACACAAGACTCAAAACCCAGTAGTACCATACATATATGCAGAACACATTCCCATTCACCGCCCACATACGTTTACATATGCCCTGCATCTTTCATGGCCACTATCGGTCCTGTCGCTTCTCAACCCCTCTACATAGGCCGGTATATGCAAGGCTCGACTCCGTCATACGACTTAACAGACTGTGCATAACCTCAATATAATGAAAGGCTGAGCTTCCGCAACCCGGTGTGTCTGCAGACTACAAATGCACCGTACAATAGCTTGAGGTGAATGTTACACTAGGTAATGCTTAGTTGTGCACACAAGTGTTAGGTATCTGGTATGCCCATTGCACACGGTCGGTTTTACACGATGAACACACTTTGTTGACCACACGCAAGCAAGACTACTAGCCCAGACCTGCTCGGAAACGGCCTTGAGTAAATACTTTCGTGTGACTCTACCAACAAAAAGTGGCTATGAAAGTATACACTCACGACTGCTTTTAGTTACGTGTGATTATGTTGGTATTATTCCATCATGGGCATTCGCTTTCGTGTGATTGCCACACGATTTTACCCAGGGTTAAAACTACGTTCGCGTGATAGGATGACAATTTCATGTTATTAATGGGAGATTTCTTATAGTGGGGGTGATAAATATCTGTGTACACAGTGTATATGTATATTCATAACATATAGAAACATGTGCGTGGTTGAATATCGGATATTTGGTATAAATGGCAATTTAATGTACATAGGCATAGCTTGCGGAATAAAACGCTACGAGTATTCAACGAGGGCTGTAGATATAATTCATAAAGTTAACAACTCTGGATTTAACTGAGCGTGTGTCGTTGTATATGGATGCACTTTCGCTTGGTTTACCTTAGCAGCAAACAATTGGACGATACACAATGTACCATCTGTAAAAGTATATCTCTACATGCTTCATATGCCTCTGTTAGATGCACAAGAAGTACACTATGTACTTCTATAGTCGCTTGTTCTGTTGTGCTACGCTAGTTATCATGCTTGCCTGCTATGTAAATAAACCACAGTGACAGTGGGTTAGATAATACCACATACACATTCTATACATACTATGCATACGTAGTAGTTTTTAGCATAGCTGTCATTATTTTCGGAGGCTTTTTTAGTAGCAGGAAACACACAACCCAGCACACATACTTTGTGTTAAACCCAAAAAGGCTAAACCCAAAAAAATTCAAAACACACGACGGAATGGATAAGGCCTTTTGGAAGGTTGCTAACATACTTTATAAAATATAGGTATGTTTATTAAAGTAGTTTGTTGTTCACTTGCCAGAGGTGTCTAATGGGTCTCTTAAGATCACTGTGTAACTATCTCTAGAACATCTCGCTACCAGAATATCGTTTCTTTGCGATTAGAAGCTAAGCATTACGCTATCATCTTATATGATCTAATTGCAGATATACATATACACGTTCCCTGAAAGTACATATACATATACACGTATATAGGAATATATACACAAGAACACATACATAACTTCAGGATGACGGGTATCTTAGATGCAGACGACATGCTAGCTAAGCTTGACGAAGACCACTGGAATGCGTTGGTTGCTTCGGGCGAGTATACACAAAAGGAGGTTGACAAGGCTCGACGGAAATTGGCTGTGAGAGAAGAGGTCAGCATGTGTAAAGCAATGCTTTTAATGGGTATGATATGATATATCTGTATTATCTGTAGCTGTACGTTACTTATGTAGATTAATATTGGAACGTGTACGAGGGTATCATGTGTATGTGTACCTTTGTTGTTGAGTATTGTGATATGTTTGTCACCTCATTATGTAGTGAATCAGTAGTCATTCATATATAAGAAGGTTTGCATCGTAGTGTAGTCATCTCTAGTTCAGGGCCGATGCCCTATACCTTCAAGCGCGGTTGTTTTATTAGCAGTGCTAGATGTGAGGGTTCTAAAGCTACCCATTTCGCGAGCGTATACTTGACTATCGTGGAAGAGCCATCTGTGGTAGTGTATATACACCATTTATATGTATACCTCACCCTGTACTGGCTTGGGCACCTAGCCTGACATAGCACGTGGAAATGGAGTCACTCGTGGTTTATGGGTGAGTATACCTTCTATGAACTAAGCATGATATTTTTGTTCTATCACTCTACCGATCAAATGAGTGTACACGCGTGTATCTCATTCAGGCTCAACACCAGTGAATAGCCGTATCATATCAAACTTTGCGCAGGCATTCACGAGTGTAAGCTTCAGTCTAGATAAATATTCGGCTTAGCATCTTCATAAATATGGTTATAGTAGCTATACTTACGGAGTCTTCTTAGCCTATATTCTTATACCTATACGCTCAAAAACATCAGATATCGAAGTGTGAGTGTTTCTAGCCACCGGATTATTGTCTCTCAGTCTGTGCACGATATATAACCCAAAACTCTAATTTGCTGTACAATCATTCGGGTTCCTCCAAACACCACGCCTCATCGTCGGATACTTGAACTTACGAACGCGCAATTGATTATTTGCCTTATACTTCGTACGTAAATGGTATTAAAGTTACGTGGCAAAGAATCTCCGGCGCACATGCTTCCCCGTTATTATACATGGACAACATTCAAACACCAGTTTTCATATCGTGCACCAGGCCTGAAAGCCAAGGATGAGCTAGTGCTGCGCATTGCCAGTCTACAGCTGGAACTGGAGAAGCGATACCTGGCCATAGAAACACTGTCGCAGTACCACGCCCAACACGCACACGTGAATACACAGGTGTCTCTGTTGCTGGCGAAGCTATACTTCCGGGATGATAAGAAGAACAAGGCGTCTGTGCTATGCCAGGAGCTGGTGGACCTCTACAAGGAAGCCAACACCCCAGATACGGAGCTCACAGGTGCGTTTCGCATATACACGTGTTTGTATTGTGTTCCGATTCGTGTAATATAATTGGTTCATGCGGCCCTGTCCTCTGTTTGAGGGGCAGGTGCACAGTTGTGCATCGCCAGTCACGCGAATACGCACATTGGAGATGATGCGAGGCATGGCCTGGTTCAGGTGATTAGGCTGGAGAGTGTGCCGTAGCGTTGCTGTGCTGTGCATGTTGAGGAGATTGGAGCGTGTACGCTTGTAAACATCAGTGTAGGCTGGTTGACATCCACCCGTTTACCAAACTCTCGGTGACATCAGGGTTGGCACCTGCGTGAATAACGTGAAATCAATTGTTGTATCGTCCAAGCTAATCTGAGCTCTTAAGTTGCACGCTGTAGCTACCTGGTATTCACATAGGTGACGGGGTCTTAGGTGTATGGCACATTGATAGGCATTCAGTGGTAGTACGATTCAAGCAGTTGTATCCCTGCCCCCTCACACCCAGTGCCTTGTCCTGTTTTGTTTTACCTTGAGAGCAGAGGATGCGGCGCACACGCTAGCCAGCCCATCAGACCCGGACGGGTACCGGCAACAGAGGGCCAAGGACAAGCAAGCTGTAGCGGATGCGTTCTATATACTCGGGTGGATAGCCATACACGCTGGAGACCACACGCAGGCATACACCGTGTGGGAAGACGGGTACACGTGGCTGCCGAACGACAAGCGCCTCAGGAAACAACACCGCAAACGGTACTGTTGGGACCAGGAACGGGTGCAGGGAGAGGCAGACGGGAAGGGTCAAGGTAGGTAGCTGTGGCTGAGTCACCCCTGTGAGGTGTGCACAGCTGGCCGTGTATATGACGCCCTGGACATTTGGATATCGTCGTCTGGGCCCTGATATGATATGAGAGATCGTTTGCAGTAGGTAGTCTGTTTGTATCCTACGTGCGCACTACTACACTCACGGTCGCCCAGCCTGACCCCATACTTGCAACGATCCCCAGACGGTTGCGCCAATGCACCAGTAGACGAGATGGAGGCCTTTTCGGTAGACGAAGCCCATCAAGCCGAGCTCGCACTCAACCTATTCTCGCGTCGTACACAAAAAAATCGGGTCGTGTTTCGGTCCAAAAAGCCCATAATTCCCGAAGATGAGCGGCAGATGGTGTTGGATGCGTGCGAGCAGTTTGCTGCGGATAATGGGGGTGGGTGGGGGACCGTGCGGCACTGTTCGGTGCCTACTACCGATGTGGCTGTAGAGGATATTCCTATTCTTAGACCCTGGCTCAGGTGTGCTATAGCAACCTTGGTGTAGGTGTGTGTTGGGGATGGAGTGGCAGTGGGTGTGTGTGTGTGTGTGTGTATTGAATGTGTCGGCATACAGTTGTAGGTACACCTGAGTTGTAAGTACACCTGTGCGACATTGTACCGTTCTTATTACATATGGCGCCTGGGATAAGCCGCCCGTTATGTGACCCCGTCCGAGGTCAGTAATTCAACTTGTCTAAAATGCCATGGGTTGCTATGATGGTTGCCCCACTTTATCCAGCTTAACTTGGGGCATTTGGTGCGTGCGGACGCTACACGAGACACCTGGTTGTATGCCTCGGAAGTTTACCGGCTCAGTTGATCTAAAAATGGACCTATAATGTCCTATTTGAAACGATACTATGACATGCAATGTCCTACTTGATAGGTACTATGTTCCCTTAACGACTTTCAGCGTTTTCTGGGTATACGGCATGCCATATATACACCAGATGAATGTACCCATCCCGGGTGCGTTGACGATGAGCTGGTTCTTCTGAGTGCAGGTTTCATCCACTTGCAGATGTACTGAGCACATATGGTGATGCAGAGACATGCGAACACATACGAACACGCGCAGTGACAATCTGTGCACCCAGCACACCCTGCGAACTATATACAAACATGACATGCTGATAAACCCGTATACCGAACTTCCTTTCCAACTACTACACATGTACAGGACTCTCATGAGGAAGTGCCTAGCCCCTATGCTGCGGGCCTGTTTCCCCCTCTTAGCCGATGGCACTGATCTCGGCCCACGTGGCGATCGTGTGCGCATCCACGATGCCTTTGTTGTACGGTACGATGCAGCGGATAGGAGCGTGTCTCTGCCCACACACAGTGATACATCGTCGCTCAGCTTCACTGTGGCGCTGACGGAGCAGAGTGGCTATGAGGGCGGTGGCACGTGGTTTGGAGCGTTGGGTGGGAAGGTGGTGGATGCTCCGGCAGGTAAGTGTTGCATTAGAGTGTGTGGTTTGGTGGGTACAGTGTGTGGGTGGGGATGGGTACAGTGTGTGTGTGTATGGGTACAGTGTGTGGGTGGGTGGGTACAGTGTGCGTGTGGGTGAGTACAGTGTATGTGGGGGTGGGTACAGTGTGTGTGTGTATGGGTACAGTGTGTGTGTGGGTGGTACAGTGTGTGTGTGTATGGGTACAGCGTATGTGGGGGTGGGTACAGTGTGTGCGTGGGTGGGTACAGTGTGTGTGTGGGTACAGTGTGGGTGTGCGTGTGTGTGGGTACAGTGGGTGTGTGTGTGTGTTGCAGGGTTGATGGTGAAGGTGATAGTATTGGACTCGTGGTGTAATTGTTTAGTGGATATGTGTATGTTTTCTATGAGTCGTGTACTCAGCTGTGTTACCCCATCGACTTAGTACAGATGTACTGCCACGTGCTAGTACTCTGTGCCTTCTGTATACCTATAATACTGTAGACAGGGACATCGATGTATCACCGCTCTAGCCCGAGTTACTGGGGCGCAAGGTAAACAACTTGGACCACAAACTAAATTAAATCATTTACCCACACACAGGACATGCGGTAGCATTTGCCGGTCCGCTGCGACACGCAGGCCATCCCATATCACACGGCACACGCACTATACTGGTGTTGTTCTGCTACATAGAGGGGTTCAGGTATGGTAAGTATGTGGGATTCGATGGAGAAGACGACCTTGAGCACGAGCACGCGCACAGTGAAACAAGCGAGAGTGTACACGCCTTTAATGGTGTGCGTGAGAGTGGTGGAGAGAGTGAGACAAAGAGGCTCAACGGGTTGGGTATGGACGGGGGTGTGGATAAGACTGGAAGATGCTGTGATGGAGTGCTGAGTGTGTCGGGTGTGCATGGGGATGTATGTAGAGGTGTGGGTGGTGTCAAGGTAGACGCGAGTGGTGGGCAGATGGTAGGCAGGAAAAAGAAGCAGTGCGGCGACGATGACAAGTACGATGTGGGGAAGGGCTACATTGTGTACAATGAAACATACGAGCTCATGACGACGATAGACGCCAAATAAACAAGAGGACTGTGTCTTGTTGGTCTTGGGGAGGTTCTGCTTATCATGTTATTATTATATACTTCGAATCGCTTCCCGTAAAAAATCACGTTGGTTTCCCAGGCTCGTTTTCTTTATAGCACATACACTTCCATGTGTGTGCTAACGGCTCGTCCGCGAACTCCGTGCGCGTTTTTGCTACTTTCACATTCGTATACGTATACAAAATCAGCATTGCAAATTCGAGCGACCACGTGTGTTGACTCGTTTTCCTCGGATATCGTTTATTGCGCAGTGTTCTGAAAGTCTAGGTGCAGTGGCTAAGTTATATTATATATTGAACTCATGGGACAGAACAACTTCATTGTACGCATCCACATGTATAAGTCGTGTTAGTCTATGTTCACCATCGCACAAATCATCGTGGACATGCAAGCACGCCTGCGACAGCAAAGAGGAGCTGAAATGTATGAGGACGCACACTATATGCACCGACGGCGAATGTACTCGCCATCGAATTGTGGGACGATATGGGCAGGTGAGTTTCAACCCATGAGCATAGTCTCCGACAGCACTGGGCAAATGGCTTCCAATATAGTGAATGAACCACACGATGACGTGTACTCGCTCCAAGCCACATTGCAGACGTTGTGGCAGAGAACATGGATCAATCTGTAACATATGCAAGTGAGGGATCACTGGCAACAATGTGTGAGTGGGTTGATAGTCTCTCAGTTGGGTTATGTAAAAAGATAAGGTAGGCTGAGATATGTGCATATATATATATATACATATACATATACATATATATGTGTGTGTGTGTGTGTGTGTGTGTGAGAGAGAGAGAGAGAGAGATATATATATAATATATATATATATATATATATATATATA